CAGACCGGCCCCCAGATCGCAGATCGCAGGAGGACGAGGAGGATGGGGGGAGGAGGAAGAGCATGATGTTGATGGCCATGATCCGGACGAAAACGAGGGGAGGAGGAGACGGAGGAGGATGATGAGGACGATGATTGCGACGGTGGTGATGGGGACGATGATGGCTACGAGGACGACCATAATGGTGATGACGATGGTGATGGCGCCGCTGCGACCTCCGCCGCACCCAGCGACAGACGACTATAGACGAGGACGACGACGACGACGACGACGACCACGACGACGACGACGACGGGCGGCGATGACGACGATGACGACGACGACGACTCGAGTAGGGGATGGACTATTCAATTGATCTACCCGAGAGTTTAGTTGTTCGTCACATCCATGAGAATTGCGTAGAATAGAATGTTCGTAGATCTTTGAACATTCTACGTTTAATTCGACGAGACAATACCTTTTGGGGCCAATCAATTCTGTAGGCGATCCCCTACTCGAACGACGACGACAAACAACGACCGTCACAGCGGCGACGACGACGCCGACGCCGACGACGACCGACGCCGCCCTCGACCCCTGGAGACTGCCCGAGGGCTTCCAAAAGGTTGTGAGAGGGCCTGCAGGGCCCCCCCCCCCAGAGAGGGGCAGAGTTGGAGGCCGTCCGTTGCCGCGCCGTATTCCAGGATGGGGCTACAGTGCCGTTTTTAATACATGCTCCGCGTGCGGATCATGTATTAAACATGAAGGGATTCAGTATTAAAAACAACGAGGAGTTCATGCGTAAATGTATTCGTGAATTAATCATGAATGAAAAATCCAATATTTTTCAAAATCCCATGTATTAAAGACTGCCCTGTACGTGCGCACTGCCTCTCCCTTCTCCTCCTGCCTCGTGCCCTCCCGCCCTCGCCGCGTGTTCTCTGTCTTCGCCTGCTGGGCAGCGACTGCACAGCCCCAGTTTTTTGTTCGGGGTTGCTGGCCCTCGGGAGCGCTGCTCGGAGCCGCCCAGCGTCGCCGCCCGCCAGCGCCAGTCCAGCATTAGGGGGCCAGATGCGAGCCCTACCCCTACCCCCCACGATTTCCCAGGGGGAGGGCGGGGACCCGCCGCAGGCCACCCTCGCGGGCGCTGATGCCCCAGGCGAGCGCCTGCGCCGCCGCTCGACTCGCCGCCGCCGCCGCCGTGATCGCCGCCGTCGCTCGTCGTCGCCGTCGTCGCCGTCGCCGTCGCCGTCGCCGCCGCCGCCATGGTCGCCGCCGCCGCCGCCGTGGTAGTCGCCGCCGCCGCCATGGTCGTCGCCGCCGCCGCCCTCGCCGTCGTCGTCGTCGTCGTCGTCGTCGTCGTCGTCGTCGTCGCCGCCTGTCTTTGTCTTTGTCTTTGTCTTTGTCTTAGTCTTTGTCTTTGTCTTTGTCTTTGTCTTTGTCTTTGTCTTTGTCGTCGTCGTCGTCGTCGTCGGAGGGATGTCTTGGGTGCTGTTCTGTTGGTTTGTCTGGGGAGGCATCGACCCCCAATCGCCCATTCTTGAGGGAGGGCGGAAGGGGCTGGGCGGGAGTGTGTCGTGTACCCTTTGTTCTCAGCACCCCGCACGTTTGCACGGTCAGGCTTCGCCGGCCTTCCGTTTCGTTGGGCTTTTCTCTGCACTTGCGACTCCAGGTGGAATGCAGTGCTTCCGCCTGCCAGCAGGCGGGTCCACCGCATGTTGGGTGCAATCGCATCATGCGCACGCCGGTTTGCAGGCTCCCGCCCGTCCATCGACGCTGTTGGGTGCAATCGCGCATGGTGATTAGTGTCGGGCATGTCCTCTGCAGTAGGAAAATCCAAAGATAGTTAACACATAGTACGGGGACATTCTTTGACTATTTTGCCATGTCTTATTTTTCCTCCAGACGCCGCCTGTAGGAGGACATGCCCGAGCAAAGTGCAAGTGCCCCTCCATATCGCTCGCAGTAGTGACGCCACTCGGCCGGCGAAGGAAGAAGTGCGCACCCCCCCGCTGCAGCCTCTCGATCCGCCCGCGTCCCCGGCCGGCTGCCGGCCGGCCCTCCCTGGAGGCGGTTGCGCTCCGAGGCCTGGCCCAGAGCGGACCCGGACTGGCCAGGGTGGCTCCCGAACGTCTCGCGGCTCGGGTCTCTCGAGGCATGGGCTCCCAGGCTCGGGGACGCGCAAATGGGGGTGGGGACTGCTCGTGCATGGCTGGGACAGCGAAGCCTCTCGCAGATATGTCGTGGCCGCCCTCCTCTTCTTTCGAGGCGGGCCCTGTCCCCCTCCCTCGCCTGCGCGCGTGCCAGGGCCCCCTCCTGGCATCTCTCTGCTCGGCGCACCCGACCGGCCTCTGGGCCCTCTCCCCGGGGCCGGGTTCGTCGGACAAGGTTGGTTTCGCTAGACCTGAGGCCCCCCCAGCCCGACCTGGGGTCCCCCCATCTCGACCTGAGGCGCCCCAGCAGCAGTCGAAGCCACCCTTCTTGGGCCAGACCTCCTCGCCGTTCCTGAGAGGAGATGCAGGAGCCTTCCATGCAGAGCCGTGCTCTCTGACGGCCCCAGGGCCCCCTTTGACCAGCTCCGGGGAGCCCCAGGCCGGCGAAGAGCCAGGCCGCACCGACGGTGTTCGAGCCGCCCGGGGGTGTCCGGGCCCTCCGCCCGTGCTCCGCCCTGCGCCCCTCTTCCCAGCACCCCCTCTTTCGCGCACCCCCCTCTCTCTCACCGAGCGCGTCCCACGTCTTGCAAGAGTTCCTGCTCGCAGACGTCCGAGAGGCACGTGTCTGCTTCGATGGTAGTGGATCGTAATTCCCCCGCGGCGGATCCAGGCCTTTTGCGAGTAGTTACTTTGCGAGCAGTGGGGCGCGCCTGTCTATACATATATATATATATATATATATATATATATATATATGTATGATCCATATATAGATATACTATATGTATATGTATATTTGTATACATATATTTATATGTATGCATATATCCAATTATTTATTTATAATATATATATAATATATTATATATTATACTCGGCGCCCCGAGGCACGCTGGCCTGTGGCCAGACGGCCGAGATTCCTTGGGACCCACTCCTCGACGCACACGTGTGGCGCCCCGAGGAAGGAGGAGGGAGGAGGAGAGGAGGAGGAGGAGGAGGAGGAGGAGGAGGATGAGGAGGAGGGCGCGGTCGGCGCACCCGCCTCCCATGGCTGTATCGCGGTCGGGGGCAACCTCCGTCGGATGTTGCTAGGAGTGCCCCTGGCCCAAGGTGCCCCCGGGATCTCCGGGGAGGCCCCCACGGCCTCCAGAGCGGCCCTCGTGAGGCCCAGAGGGCCCCAGAGGCCTCAGAATTGAGCGAAAGTTGGGGCACCTTGGGCCAGGGGCGCCTTCAGCAACCCCCGACTCGGGGGGGGGGAATGGAGATGCCTCGGCCCCCAAAGTCGCCCATCCACCGCCGATGGGGGCCGGGGGGCGCGAGGGTCCTCCGTTCCCGGATGGTCCTCCGGGCAGGCGGAGGTCGCCGCGTGTGCGCACGCCGCTCCTGGGGAAACGAAAAGGACATACACTCAAAAACTCGGAGGTCCGCGCGAGTTTTTTGGATCCGCGCTGGACCCCCCTCCTTCTCCCCCTCCTCTTCCTTCTCTTCCCTCCTCTCCTCCTCCTCCTCCTCCTCCTCCTCCTCCTCCTCCTCCTCCTCCTCCTCCTCCTCCTCCTCCTCCTCCTCCTCCTCCTCCTCCTCCTCCCCCCCCTCCCTGGCGCGCGGAGCGCGCTCGTGGCGGCGCCTCCGCGCCGCCAGGAGGCCCGGCCGTGGCGGTGGGGCGCTCCCGCGCCGCAGGCGCGAACGGGGGCGAAGGGTCGTCCAAGAATCCCCGGGAGCCTCGAGCGATCGAGCCCGCCGCGGCCGCGCCCGTCGCCCCTGCTCCAACTCCTCCCCCTCCTCGCCCGCCCACTCCTCCTCCTCCTCCTCCTCCTCCTCCTCCTCCTCCTCCTCCTCCTGCTCCGAATACCTCCCCCTCGTCCTCGTCGTCGTCCTGCTGATGCTGCTCCTGCTGCTCCCCCTATTTCCTCCTCCGCCTCTCCTCCCCCTCTCCTCCGTCCTCCTTCTCCCCCTCCTTCCTCCCTCCTCCTCCTCCTCCTCTCTCCTCCTTTTTCTCCTCCTCCTCCTCCTCCTCCTCCTTTTTCTCCTCCTCCTCCTTTTCCTCTGCATTCTCCTACGCGTCCTCCCTCCTCCTCTTCCTCGCCCTGCCCCTTCCCTCTTCCTGTCCCCCCCTCCCCCCCCGCTCCCTCGACCCCTCAAGCCCCGAGCCTCGAGCCCTCCTCGCCCGAGCGCCCGCGCAGGAGACCCAGTCCTCCTACTCGAAGTCGACGGACCCCGCCCGGGGGGGGGGGATCCGAGGGCTGGCCGGGGGGTCGGGGGCGGAAAAGAGGGGGGTGATGACTAGGGGGGGTCGACATCATGGCGGGGGCCATGATATTTCCCCAGATTTCATGGCGCCTCTTCTTGTTTCATTACGTCCCTGGCCCCCCCCGCTGGGCCGCGCACGTGCCGCCGGTCATGATTTGCACCCCCCCCTCTTGGACACCCCCCTCTTGGCCGCTCCCGAGGGGGGGGGGAATCCGAGGGCTGGCCGGCCGCGGCTGGCCTTGGCCGGCCTCCGCGCCCCAGGGGCGACTGCGATCGGGGGCTGACTCTGTGCACCGTCCCCTGCCGCTTGCCCTCGCCGTTCGCAGCGGGCTCCCGGCTCTCGTCCCTCCGAGCCGCAGGGGGTGGGGGGGGGGCGAGGGGCAGGTTTCGACGGAGTGGCGGCTCAGGTCCCCCCTCCCTCCCCTGCCCTGCTCCTGTCTTCTCTCTCCCCTTCTCCCGTGGCCTTGAGTTCCAGGGAACCCGTCCGTAGCCGGGCCCCTCGCCCAGCACCAGCAGTGCCCCACCGATCTTGGGGAACGCGGAGGCTGCGCTGCTGGCGCTCCATGTGGAGAGTAAGGCGGACAGGTTCTGGGTGGCCGCTGGTGGAACTACGCTCCCTGCAACTACTGCCATGGTTCCCCCCGCACCTATTCATGATGGCGTCAGCTGCCACCGGAGGGGGCCGAGGCTTTCCCTACGGTCCCTCGGCCAACGGAGACGGCCGTAGGGAGGGGCGCCAACGTACCTCCACAACTCTGACATTTCTGCCCTCAAGGAGCCAATTGCCACCACGCGATTTTCCTCCCCCCTGCCTGACGCCCTGGGTGGGCGGGTCGGGTCGGGCAGGGCCTTTCTGATCCCTCCCCCTTCCTCTGGCGTCCCGCTCCATGTGCCGCTCCTGCGGGCCTGCCCGTCCTCGCCGCCGAACGCTTCGGGAGGTGGTCTGGGCGTGAAGCTCCGCTCCCCTCCTGCCTCCCCCTCCCTTCCTCTCCGCCCCCCTCCCTCCCTCCCTCCCTCCCTCGCGCCGGCCGCCGGTCTGCCGGAGCGCCTGAGCCCGTTGATCGGGAGCCGGCGCAATCCCCCCACCCCAGGAACGGTCCGCCGCTCAGCGGAGGCCGCCCCCGTGGAGGAGTGCCTGCGCAGGCCGGGGCCTACAGATGTGCATGCACGGGAGCGCGCCGACGACCGCGGCAGTGGTGGCGTCGCACGCGGGCACGCTGCTTCCTGGAGCCTTGGAGCCTCGCGCGGCAGTGCGTGCCCAGCCCCCGCAGCGCCAGAGGGGAGTCTCCGGCCTCGCCAGCCCCGCGACCGGGCGAGCGGCTCACGCACTGCCCAGCGTGGCAGGCCCCGCGCCCCGCGCCTCCCCCGCAATGGCAGCAGCCGCAGGCCCGCGCTCAGCTGCAGCCTGGTCAGCGCAACGGCGGCAGTCTGCCCTGGAGGGTGCGCCCGCGCGCAGCGCGGACGTCGTCAGCGCGTTTGGCGCCCCCGTCAAGCCAGCCCAACTGCTCGGCGGTGCTGCAGGGCCAGCTGCGTCTGCACGGCGCAGCTGATTGCCTTGTAGGCCCGAGTCAGCTCGTCGAGCTGCGGGTCCTCCGGCAAGGTGCGCACCTGCCGCAGAAGCCACTGTCGGCCTTCCCGCCTGGGCGCCCCAGGGTTTCCATTTCGAATGGTGTCAGTTTGTCCCCCGGGTACCTGGCGTGCTTTTGGCGCTCGGCCCTTTGCGCGGCCTCGCCAAGCCGGCGTGCCGCCCCGCTGGCGCAACGTCCTCCGTCGCAGCAGGGTGGTGGACCGACATATCGATCCAGTGCCGGCCGGCCCCGTCGTTGTATTCGACGTCGAGGATCGCGCGCTCGACGACGGCCGCGCCTGGCGGGTCTGCTGGCCGTCGGCTGCGGGCGCGGCGGTCCCAGGCTGGCATTCACTGCTCCGTCAGCGGCTCTTGGTGAAGCCAGCGCCAGACCAGGCCGACCACCGCGTTCTCGAGGTTGCCGTGCGGCTCGCCACCCCGCCGCCCAGCACGCAGATGGCGGCGCGCGTGCCTTGCTCGTCCAGCGACTGTCCGCACGGCGCGCCGCGGGCCCCTCCAGCGGCAGGGCGGTTCTGGCAAGTTTGCGCCGCCGCCTGGAGCTTTGCCAGCGCGCACTCAGGCCTGGGCAGGTGCGCGCGGGCACGGAGCGCCGTGGCCCAGAGCGCGTCTTTCATGGAGGAAGCAAGGTTGCTCGGGTGGCCGAGGCACCCCGCGGCCCCTGGCCTTCCAGCTGCCAGGAGCGTCGCCCGTTCGTGCTGGTGCAAGCGCTGCCTCGGGGCAGCGTGAGTTTTCTTTCGCGCAGCCTGCACGAGAGTGCTCTGCTTTGTCGGGTGCTCCATCGCGTCCGGCAAGGAAGCGCCCAGCACGGGGTCTGCGCCCTGAAGGGAGAGTTCCGTCCGTGCGTCGGAGAGAGAGAGGGCCTCGCCGAGACGCGGCGCCGCGTCCAAGAGCTCGAGCAAGGAGTCCGTGCCGAGGTTCGCGGCCACAGTGGACACGCACGTGGTCCAGCCGGCCCAGAAAGCCGCGACTCGTTGCGTTGCGGCCCACTGCAGCCCCGCGCCAGAGAGCTCGATGGGGAGGCTTAGGATCTCCCAGTAGCCTGCCAGGGTGTGCTCGTAGCGCGCCGCCTCCGCTTCTCCGGCCAGCTGCGTGCGCAGTACGTGCTGGCTGGCGGTGCCCGCGTAGGTGCGCAGCAAGCTCCCAGTCGCTTGCAGCGAGAGGCCGTGATCGCCGACCGTTCTCTTCCCCAGCGGCCGGAGCGCGTTCCAGAGCTGCGTCAAGCGTCCAACCGCCTGCTCAAGGCCACTGTTCCGGCCCAGCTCGAAGGGCGCGTCGGCCACATCGCCCCGCGCCCTCAGGTGCGTGCCGAGCACGTGGGGCGCCAGCACGATGTGCGCGCGGAGCTCTGGGGGGCAAGGCCAGCGGCCCAGTCGGAGACCACACCTGCGTTTTTCGGGCGCTGGGGTCCAGCCCGAACGGCTCCGCCCAAGCGTTGGAGGGCGGCCGTGACGAGCTGCGCCGGGAGCACTGAGTAGGCGTTGTCCAGGTAGGAGCAGAGTTACATGTGGGTCCTGGCGAGACAGCTCCTCCAGCAGCTGGGGAACGCTTCCCTCTGGCTGGCGGAGCCGGAGTGCTAGTTGTCAAGCACCCGCGCGATCTTTGGCACATGGGCAGCCACGGCCTGGATGGCTGGGTCTCGCCGCATGCGCTTGAGGGCCGCCCTGGTGTCCACCTTCATGAGCACCATCCCCAGGTGGGCGTCTGATTGGGTCTGAAGCTGCTTGACCAGCAAGTTGGTCCCGCACCTCTGGCACCGTACTGGTGAGGGCCCGCCGCCTGCTGGAGCCTCCTTTTTTCGACCCAGGCCTTAAGTCGGGCATGTCCTTCCGCAGGAGAACTATCCCAAAATAGTCGAAAAATAGTAAAGGGGACGATTTTCGACTATTTCTATCATTTTTCTAATATTTGTTTGGACATTTTTTTAATTTTTTTCCCAAATTTGCCTGTAGGAGGCCATGCCCGACTTAGCCCAAGCCAGCGCTCGCATCCCGAGCCTCCTCAAGATGGCCCCCACGAGCAATGGGCGGACACCGCCGTTTTCCTGGTCCAGGGCCACGACCTCGCCCACCCGCAGGACCTGGAGCACCGGCGCCGGCACTTCGCCGAAGGTGAGCCTCGGGACCGCCTGAACTCACAAAGGGAGCGGCTTCGGGTCGCCCCGTGCCGTGGCGAGTCGTTCCAGGCGGGCCCCGAGCAAGCCTGGAGCGGTCAGCCGGGGTGGCTCGCGGAGGAGTTTGCCGACCTCTCCTTCAGCACCTCGTCCCACGGGGCTGGGTCGGGGCGGCCCCGCGAGGGCCGGCGGGCTGGGCGAGGCCGCCTCCCGCCGGGGCGGGGGGAAAAGCGGCGCGCACCCTCTCCAGCGTGCTGCGGCTGCGTGGTGCCAGCGGAGTGCCCCGCGCGGCTCCGAGCGCCCGCCCCTCTTCGCCGGCCGCGGCCAGGGTGCGGACCCGCCGCGCTTCGCTCTCCTGCTCGTCCGCCTGCTCCCGCCGGGCGGTCCTGGCCGGGGGCGCGGACCTTCGGGCTGCGTCTCCCCACAGCGCGCTCCACTGGCCGCCCACCACCACGCCGGGCGCTCCTCGAGAGCCTCGGCGTTGGTGGCCTGGCTGTCTAGCAGTGCCGTGAGCAGCGCATCGAACATGAGCAGCGCCTTCCACTGCTGCTCAGAGTCCCCCCTTACCGCTACCAGCACCTCCAACAGCTTAAGGCGGGCGGTCACGAAGGTGCCCCAGAACCGATCTGGCACCTGCACGAAGGTCGGGGTTCCAAAGCGTACGGCCGCAGGCCATGGGAGGCGCTCCCACCACCCGCGGTTGGGGAGCACGTTGCTGTCCCAGTCCTGGTGAAGCGGCGGCGGTAAGAGGTTGGCTGCCGCCTGATCTTGCGCCTGCTGCTGTGAACGTGTCGCCTAAATCTTGTCCAGTGCCGCTCGCACCGCCTCCTCGTGTTCTTCGGCGGCATGGCCGGTCATGGAGAGATCGATTGTGCGTTTCCCACAGCAGGTGCCGCACATGAACGCTTCTATCTTCCCCTGTCTCTGCTACCCCACGAGGCCAGCCGCAGTTCCCATATTCGAGCGGGACGCGGCAGCCCCTGCATGAAACAGGGCGGGTTGAAGCCAGCTGCATGCCGACTGCCCAGCGCTGCTCAAGCCGCGGCCGTTGGCGCGGCCCCTCCGCCAGTGGCCGGGCATCGCCGCCGCCGCTGGCGTCCCGTCCATGTCGACGTCGACATGGCAGTGCAGATGGGATCGGGCGAGCCCCCGGCAGCCTTGCCTGCCTCCCCCACACAGCGGAGTGTATCTGAGTTGCCTCTCCTGCCACGCCGCTGGCCATGGCGTGGGGCGGAGGCGCCTGCCAAGGATGACTGTCCTCACGCAAGCTTTCCCCCCGCCCCCTCCAGTGCCGACGGCTTCTCGTCCAGAGCCGTCGCAGCAAGGTCCCTTCCTAGAACATGGCACCGTGCTGAAAGCCCCCCCCCCCCCCACCTCCTCCTCCTCCTCCTGCTCCTCCTGCTCCTCCTGCTCCTCCTGCTCCTCCTGCTCCTCCTGCTCCTCCTCCTCCTCCTCCTCCTCCTCCTCCTCCTCTTGCTCCCTTCGCCTCGCCTCCCCTCCCCCGGCCCTCCGAGAGAGGACTGCACGTCGCGGCGGGCAACGCGGCAGGCGCCCCCGGGGGGCCGCCTGGAGGGGGGGGGGAGCTGCGGGGGGCAGGCGGGGGTGAGGGTCGGTGCGCCCCGAGATCCGGGCGCGGCCATCTTGGCCACGCCGGGCGGGCCGCGGGGGGCCCTCGCGGCTCGACCCCGCTCGGAGAGTGCCCCAGAAAAGTTCAGGAGGGGAGCAAAAACACACAGACACAATGAATCCTCGATTCCCCAGAAAATATGTGAAAATATGGGAAGTGGGGGGAAGACAGAAACCCAGAAAATATGGGAAAATATGGGGATTTTTTTTATTTGTGTATATTTCCCCATATCCTAAGGATTGGGGTTCTTGTTATTACTCTGACGCCTCCCACTCCTCCTCCTCCTTCTTCCTCCCGCCTCCCGCCTCCCTCCTCCCAATGATAATCACCAGATAAGACAAGACAAGATAAGATACTACAAGATAAGATAAGATAGCACAAGATATGATAAGGTAAGATAAGATATATGACAAGGTAGGATAATAGATAAGATAAGACAGCCTATGGAGTAATAAGATAAGACAAGATATGATGCGATAAGTTGAGTTGATATAAGATAAGCTAAGACAAGATAAGAGATTTCAAGATAAGATAAGATAGAGGGTAATAAAGGTAAGATAAGATAGGACTCGATAAGATAAGATGAGACTCACTCTCACTCAGACTCACTCACAGTCACATTCACTCACACTCACACTCTCTCATGATCACAAAACGCTGCCAGGGGCATCATTTGGGAGCCCCAAGGGGGAGCCACCCTGGCTGATATCACGAGCCCGTTCGCGCCGATTTTGGTGGGACGTCTCAGCTAAAATTGCCGTTTGGCCTCCCCAACATGTCTCTCTTGAGAGCCTCATGGTCACAAAACGCTGCCAGGGCATCATTTGGGAGCCCCAAGGGGGAGCCACCCTGGCTGATCTCACGAGCCCGTTCGCGCCGATTTTGGTGGGACGTCTCAGCTAGGATTACCGTTTGGCCTCCCCAACATGTATCTCTTGAGAGCCTCATGGTCACAAAACGCTGCCAGGGGCATCATTTGGGAGCCCCAAGGGGGAGCCACCCTGGCTGATCTCACGAGCCCGTTCGCGCCGATTTGGTGGGACGTCTCAGCTAGAATTGCCGTTTGGCGCCCCCAACATGTATCTCTTGAGAGCCTCATGATCACAAAACGCTGCCAGGGGCATCATTTGGGAGCCCCAAGGGGGAGCCACCCTGGCTGATCTCACGAGCCCGTTCGCGCCGATTTTGGTGGGACGCCTCAGCTAGAATTGCCGCTTGGCCTCCCCAACATGTATCTCTTGAGAGCCTCATGGTCACAAAACGCTGCCAGGGGCATCATTTGGGTGCCCCAAGGGGGAGCCACCCTGGCTGATCTCACGAGCCCGTTCGCGCCGATTTTGGTGGGACGTCTCAGCTAGAATTGCCGTTTGGCGCCCCCAACATGTATCTCTTGAGAGCCTCATGGTCACAAAACGCTGTCAGGGGCATCATTTGGGAGCCCCAAGGGGGGGTCCACCAGGGGCTTCATAGTCACCAAACGCTGCCAGGGGCAGCATTTTGGCTTCCCAAAGAGGAGTCGACCCGGGCCTCCTAGTCGCCAGACACTGCCAGGGGCACCATTGGGATTCAGATTCGCACCCAGACTCACTCATACACAAGCTCACTCACACTCAGATTCATTTCTTCAGAGTCAGGCACACACAGACGTACCCATACTCAGACTCACCCACACTCAGGCTCACCTAACCCAGGCTCAGTCAGAAGCCAGTAGCGAAGAGAGCAGAGAGGAGAGAGAGAGAGAGAGAGAGAGAAAGAGAGAGA